TCCCTAATTGTTTGTGGATTGTAATGTTGATTAGGTTGTTGTTGAAAATGTGTGTTCTGCTGTTGCGCATTTTGAGAAAATATCTCCGGTCTTATTGGATCAGGAGTAATATTTAATGACATATTTCTTAGTGAGTCAATTGAGTTTCTCACTACTTGAGGTATCATTAATGCAAGACGATCTTCCATATTTTTCATTGCTTCAGATTGAGCAATTCTTACAGATGCGCTAATAAATTCTCTGAGACTTGGACCATCGTTGCTATTTATTGGTACTTCTAAATTTATATTATTATTAGAACTTGGCATAGCCGTGTTTATGTCAGTATTTCTTGTTGTTTCCTGGCCTGTTAAACTACTGTATGGTGGTCTTGTAATTGATGTACTAGTTTCAGGTGATGATGTATGTACACCAGTAGGTAAAGATGTAATGATTGACATAAGTGGTGGAATACCTGCTTCAACCACAGTTCTATCTGCACCTTGTGCTGAAGTATTAGAAATATTCATATTGTTACGATTGCTGATAGGTGTATTAGAAGTTGTAATATTGGTTAAAGTATTGGGATTTATGAGATTGGCGTTAGTTAGTATTGCAGCATTAGATGTGCTTGCAACATCAATATTAGTGCCGCTCGCAATAGGTGTATTTTTGTTTGCCAATCTGCTAGAAGTTCTGGTTTGACTTGGGTTTTTGTTGGCCATAATGATTTCAAGTTAGAAAATTATATGTATATCATGCAAGAAAACAGATAAAAGGATAAAAAAAAATTGTTGAAATGTAGTATTATAATATTTGAAGTTAAATGACTATATTAGAAGTTATGACTTAATATTTGTATAATTGTTTGATATGTTTACGTATATATATTAATATAATAATTGTTTTTTTTTGTATTTTTAAATATTAATAACGTATTTTTTTCTTTCAGGTAAATATTTCTGGTATTTTTTTTTATAACTTATGTATTTTATAATATTCGAGTTGTGTATTTTTCTGTTTACTTATTTGTCTAATTTTGATTGAATTTTAATATTTTAATTTATTATATATATATCCACATTTATTTTTATTTTCTTAATATAAATATATAGTGTTTTTAAGTAATTATATTTTTGGGGAAAATTTTTTTTATAAATTTAAATTAAATAATAAATGTGTATATATATATGTAGTTTACATGTATTGTTTCTTATTTATATAATTTTTTTGATTGTATTTTTTTCGTATTGTTATTTATAATTCAATTTATTTTAACAAAATCACATATATGTATTTATAATTATATATTTTCAATTCATTCAATATTTATATTATATTATTAATAAAAATAGATTATAATAATAATTCAAGACAATATAAATGTGCTTTTGTTTTTCGTTTTTTAATATAAATTGATTATAGAATTTTTTTTATAATATTTCTAGATAAATTTAATATCTCTAATATATATATTTTTTAAATAATGAACATTGTATGACAATACTTTAATAATAATTTTTATTGTTCGATAATAATTTGTTTTATTCTTTTTATGTTAATTTTTTTTTAATATTTAGGTTGAATATATTTTATCAGGTAGTGATTTTTTTATAATAAGTATGTTTATCTAAGAATTCTGTAAAACAATTTAATGGATTTTCAAAATTTTACTAATTTCTAATTATAGTTAGAAATTTAAAATCACAGAAAAATTGAATTGTTTTTGAAATATTTTAAATTATGTTTACATTATTTATAAACATATAAAATAAAGTATTTATTTTAAATTGGATGTTATTTGTTTCTTTGTTTTGGCTAGAGTATTTTGAAGGCAAATATAAGTATACAATTTGGGACAAAAATACATTAATTGTTATAAAAAACTTCCGAAGTCAATGATTTCTGCTTTCAAAAGAAAAAAGAACGTATAATACCAAGCTGTATAGCCTCTGATTATGTTTCTTTATTTTTATGATTGCTTATTCATCTCGTTCGATTGTAGACTTGTGGAATTGATTGTACCTGAGCACCTGTACAACACGGCATGGCTATGAAAATGCCTTCCGGGATACCGATGTGTAGAATACAATCTGTTCCAAAGTTTGGGCTATGTTGGAAAATTCAAAAATTTAAATTGCTCTATAGTTGGGCGCCATAAATGTGACTGCCTGGGTTAAGTGGAGTAGGTACATGTTGGTAGGCTGCGGCTTAGCTCGCCGGATAGGGGAGTTCTTTATCCACTTGACAGCACACTTAAATTTGTGTACCTCTGATTATTTTGTAACTGTCATCATAGTTTGTATTAAGAAAAAGAGGGAAAACAATAAAATAAGAGGAAATGGATGTACACATATATCTGCCTTAGCCTTTCAATTTAAAATAAACACAAGGTAGAATTCCAGTTTGAATGAGGTTCTGATGTTACACCTCTTTGGCTTTGCCCACCCCTCATATACATTTTTCAGTATACCTTGGTGTTTCTGTCGCCAAAAATTCTGTAGAAACACCCCAAAAACGATTATCACTACCCTAATAAATTACTCAACCCATTTTAAATAAAAATTTAAATTTCCATTTTTAAATTATTTAAAATGTTCATATATTATTAATCTTTAGCAAATATACTACACATTATTTATAATAATGTTTTGATCATAGTAATTTTACCTTAATTTATTTAATATTTAATTTATTTAATAATTTTAATATTTATAATTTTTTTTAATTTTATATATATTTTATTTTTACATGCTTTTTTTATATTATATTTAATAATTCAAATTAATCCTAAATTTTTTTGATTTGTATAAATTTATATATATAATTTCTTTCAGTTTTTATATTTTTACTAATTTTACTCTTAATAAATATTATTCATAAAAAAATATTGTTTTGGCAAATTATTGAGTTTTTTTTTTTAGGACATTATGTGATTTTTATTTAGATTGATTTAAAATGAAAGTAAAATTTTGTGTCATGTTACATATTTTGTGAAGAAAACCTTTTATACAGGGATAATTTTTATTGAAAATCATAAGCGCCTAAAACTCCGCTTTAGATTTTCGACAATTTATTTTAAATAGTTTTACGAACAATTTTTCTTGTTTGTACAGTTATTTTTTTTTTTTTTGAACACGTGAGGTGTGTAGAATTTGGTTATATTTTTTTAAACATATCAATTTGAATACAAATATTATTTTTTTCTCATTTAATATATATATGTTTTTATGCAGAATGCTTTTTCATAATTTTATATTTTTTTGACTGTCGTACTCACTCGTATCAATTTTTTTTTTTATCAAAAAAAATGTAGCCTTTTAATCTGGTTTTCCTTGGTTTTTGAATTAGATAATAGAAGCTTTCTCATTTATTGAGAATCCCGGGATAAAGTGGTTTCACCATCCACAGGTGAAGTTGGTTTGCAATATATATATACCAACCTGAGGACTGCTTGTTCCTGATAAAAAGATATCCTGGTTTCACCACAATATCCTTTAAGAAGGATGAAATAATACGTTTTAAGGAATATATATATATATTTAACGAACTTATTACAATTCTTACCCGAGTGTAAATTTTTTTTTAATATCAAAAATATTTTGTCAACGTCAGCTATGACTACTCTTAGATGGTATTTTTAATTGATTTTAATTAAAATCAGTATATAATTTCACTGGTTCACCATTTATTTTACAGAATTTTTGTATTTATTTAACGGCTATTATGTACTTCGTGGTGGTTTTTAGTATATCACCTTCACTCTGACAGTCTATGACTTTCTAAATCGTAACTTCAATGTCACTTTCAATGAAGGTCAGAATACACATGGTGGAAATATAGTGATATACTGTCACTCAAATATCAACCATGGTGGATCTCGATATTTTTCATCCTTTGTTCTGGGTTCAATCTCCAGATGGCGCTAATTTACATCACTTGTAAGAATGTTTTCAGCAGTAAACATGTATATTGTGTATACCGAAATAGTATTCAAGTAGTTTACTACATTATAAATTGTATTCATTATTATTTTTATTATTCAATAAAAAAAAATCAAAATTTGATTCATTCGATAAATTGTACATATTTGGTTTGAGGATTGATCGTACAATTTATGATCAGGCACAGTTTGAAAGTCATTGGTAGTTACACCATGGTGTAACTTCGCAACATGAAATTGAATCCCTTTACAACACTGGTAGACACGAACAGATGTTTTTATTATTTTGTTTTGCTTTTACCTTTTTACAACTTCTTGATGGAAGCGATAAGTTCAACCAAATAAATAAAATTCATTGTAATTTGTTTGTGGTTTTTTTGTGACCCAAAAAATATAATCGACTGAGCGATAGTTTTCAAATGTGGCCAATGCATAATTATGTGTGGGTATTCATACCCAGCCCAAAGGTGGCTGTCACATTTCCCAAAATCATAAAGGAAAAAATGTAATCGCAGTAAAAAATTCTACATTCTTGCATGTTCTGGAACAGACCCTTTTTTGTGTGGAAGAACACACACACGCAAATTGAACCAATTTATCGACATTCAAATGTTAACATCTCAGATGGCAAATTTATCAATTCACTGAGAAGTAATAACCCAGCCAAACGAAAAAAATTGCAAAGCCAAAAAAAAAAAGAAATTGCATCAATCATTGGCATTGTTGCGTTAAAATTCTACTGTTGAAGGATATTATTATTTTATATAAAAGTAAGGAAAAATCCCAAGAAAATTAAGAAGAAATTCCAGCAGATTTTATATTTTCCTGCACGACAACGATCTCCAAAATTGGAAAAAGGTACAAATCCAAAATAAGGAAAAAATTCCAATCAACGAAAAAGCAGTGATTGTGTGAAACGCCATTCTCCTTCGATATAAATTTAGGGAATATTTTTTTATAAGGTAAAACATTAAACTGGTTATGTGTTTATATATAACTTAGTTATTTGCGGATCTTTATTGCTAATAAATTTCGTTTATTTATTTTTTTTTTGTTGTTTTTTCGAGAAGTTATCGAAATGTCATCTGAGGCACCGGCAACTCCCGACAAACTAACACCCGGCATGGGTAGGCCACCCTTGAGCCGGGACAACAGCACCGGTAGTCCGAATTCCTTGCAGCTACCAAGTCCAATTATTACAAAACGGACAAGGACAGCTTCTACGTAAGTCTTTTTTTAACTTTTTAATTATATATTTTTAATATTATTGTCTTAAATTATTAAATTACTTTCATAGAAAAAGTCTCAACCTTGAAATTTAATCATAATAATTGGAAAATTACCACATGCTTTTTCAATAAGGTTCATTGTGGACCGAAGTAAATTTCAAACATAAGTGTGGAAAGGAGGGTTTGGGGAGGGCGTTAGTGTGCTGCGAATATCCAAAACTTTTAATTTTTTGTCAAGCATTAAAAAAACGCACACAAAACGATATGAATTTAATTTTTTTTCTTTATATTGAGTTTTTTGCAATGTCACACAACAAGATTCCAATTGGAATCTGTATTCTTTTTTGTTTACATTACTATGGTGGGATATATGTGTTTTTTGTTTATTATCAATTTGTTTTTTGTTCACAAAAAACAATAACAAGAATTATAAAAAAACAACACCCCCTCATCAACAACAACAATGCCAGGCAGTCAGCCACAATGTGAAGATGATTTAAATTTTCGGCACTTGATTGCCAAACTATGCACAATCACACACAGGCATACATATTCGTTTAAATAATAATTATCAAAACAATTAATTCGAGTGGACATTCAATGAAAGTTGAAAGTATGAGAAAACAAAAGCAAATATGTAGCCACAAATATAACAGGCATATCCTCCTCTAACCATTACTGTTAGAAAAGGCGTTGTGGAGATCCGTAGAAATGTAGATCCATAGATGATATGACATGACCACTTATTATGGCTATTAGAAAAGCCGTTGTGTAGAGTAGTCAAAAAATACGATGTGCTTTGCGGGTCTTCATTGATAATTTTCTTTATGAAAATCCGCCCTTTGCACTATGAAAATAAAAAGATGCGATCTTATATGTGACAACTGGTCTGCTCTTCTATAAGAATACCTTATGGAGTTTCTATAAAAAGGCATTAAGGGACATCTTACAGAATTTCCAAGCTTTCCAAGGAAGTGATTAAAAAAATCTTTAAAAATCCACCCATGGGGACCTTTGGGAAATTATTCTTTAAAAAATCAACTCTTTGGAGGCCTTTGAAAAAATAATCTTTTAAAAAACTTTTGGTCTTCTATGAGTATACATTATGCAGCTTCAATCATAAGTCTTATGAATCATCTATACGATGTCCTTCGCCTTCTTTGAGAAGTCTTTTGGCCTCCTATTAGAAGAAGGTATTTTTGGATTGGTCTATTAGGAAAGACCTTTAGTCTTTATTAAACTATACTAATTTAATGTGATATCTTATTTTTTACTAAACAAATATTTCAATTTATTTTTATTTCATTTTCAGATCTGCTCGTGCTATGGAAAATCCTATTGTCACCGGTGTTGTAAAATCATTTAGTCGTACTAAAGGTCATGGTTTCATTACCCCCAAAGATGGTGGTGAAGATATATTTTGTCATATATCAGAGTAAGTAAATGAAAACAGAAATAGACGTTTGCGCGGCAGGGAGATGGACGATAAAAAAGACCCGACCATGCCATAACAATACATACATTTGTTTAATGTAATATTTAACTCCTATAAACAATTTTTTCCATTTCAGCATTGAAGGTGAATATGTGCCTATGGAGGGTGATGAAGTTAAATATCGTTTGTGCGCCATACCGCCTAAATATGAAAAATTCCAGGCAGTCCATGTAAAAATTATCAACTTAACACCTGAAGTCCATCATAGATGGGAAGAATAAATTTGGGTGGAAATAAAACTCTGAGAGTATTTAAAAAAACAATTGTTACAAAATAATCGAAAACGATGGAAATCAACCAACCAAACAACAATCAATCAACACAATGAACAATAATTATGTAGCCACAAGCCTGCCGTAAAATAAAGACAGAAGATTTCGTTTTTTATTAGATTTTATATTGGATTCGATATCAAAAATCATCAAATCAATAACATTGCAAACAAACATAATGCCTCATTTTATATGCCAGAAAAGAAACGAAACATTTTTGTAATGAATTATATTTGTAAGCGCACATAATATTGTTTTAATTTTTTAACACTTTTTTTGTAATGCTAATTAATGCATGTTTAAGGGATACTAATAAAAGCATTGAAAACCCTATATATAAAACTACAGAAATTAGCAGATAATTATAAAGAAAGTCTACACGAGGTGATAGTTCAGCATTTATTGGAATATAAGGATAGGATAGACGATCTCTTATTTCTTATTTTCTAACTTGGGTTGTTGTAAAAAATAACCAGACATGTAATGTACTCTTTCGGATACCTTTGGTATTTGTGATGTATACCCTTATATTATTCTTTAAGGTCTTTCCAATTAAAATCTAATATAAATTTGAAGGTAAGATGGGCTGAGATCTCCCGTATAAATGCTTTAATGTTGTCTTCCTTCAATGCGTCAATTGAAGCGGGCTTGTCTGCATAGACCCGATATTTAAGATAGCGCCCACAAAAATAGTCTAAAGTAATTAAATTGCACGATCTAGGCAGCCTATTGAGTGGTCCCATATTATTGCGGCCTAAAGGGTGAAAAAAACCCCATCAAAAAATATATGATAATCGTTCCAGGCGTATTCTATCTATATTGGACATCTTTGCTTTCTGGCTTAAAAAGTCAACCATAAGCTCGTCTATAAAGACGGTCTTAAACTCGCCTATTAAGATTCCCTTCAGCTTATCTATCATCATTAAGCTCGTCTGTAAAGACTCATTACTTCTAGTATAAAATAAATACTCATTTCAGCTCGATCAGCTTTTCTTGAAAGTCACTTATCAGCTCGTCCAAGGCCTATAAATAATAGATCTTGAGCTCCTCGTCTATTAACAAGGCCTATAAATAAGGTCGTCCCGGGAGATCAGGTGCCCCTCAAGCCTGCTGTCAAACGCCATTATTGTGAATTGACTTTCATTATCAAAACCTAGCAAACGTGCGTTGAACCCGCATGACATTCCTAAATATATTCACCCCTATTCTGTATGTCGTCGTCGACACGAAACGACGTCGAAGAGAGTCGTCTTTTGCAAATTGGTATTCCCTATGTCGTTGTCGACATTTATCGATAACTATTGAAACATTTTTGGTATTCCGTAACAATGTGTGACGACGACGATGTCGAAGATTTATTCGTCATAGTTTTTGTTGACGACTAAAGCGTTTGAACATTTTTTTTTTTGAAATTAAAAAAAAAACGACCGGACAAGAACAGGATACATCATTCTAGAATCTATTCAATACTTAATGCAAAATAAAGTGTAAATAAAGAAAAATATATGGGATCTATATATAAATCTAAACCGATTTTGACCAATGTCAATAGGACTCGTCTATGTGGAAATAAAATTTCATCCCAATTGGATGGATTTTTTCCAAATTTCATCCCGTTCGGATCATAATGGTGGCATGTAACTTGTTTAAAATAATACATGAATGGAGGGACATGCATAAATCGACTAAAAATAATTCTATGTACATACTATATACTAAAAAGTAACTATGGGTCTATCTCGTTTCTTTTTGGTCGTTGCAAACACATTTACCAAGACATAATGCCCTGTGCCACAGTGCGGTGAAGTATACAAACACATTTTTGCCCAAAAATATGCAACAAAATTTTTGTTTTTATTGATATTATCGATAAATAGTCGACATCGTCGCATGAGTGTTACAGAATACCAAATCAGTGTCGAAGTGATGTCGATGTCGATGCGAAGTGATGTCGAAAGAGAAACGTCGTCGACAACGACGACGACATACGGAATAGGGGTGATTATAAAATTTGGGAGGTAACAAGTTCGATTAATAAGGTCATCCAGCTAGCGTATGTCAGCTGTTTTTCCACATGTCTAATGTCAAAAATTTGGACTTTTTTTACGTTTTTATAATGGGTGTCAATTCACAATAATGGATTTTGACAGCAAACTTATGTGGCAGCTGATTTCCAGCTGGTCTCCCTAGGGCAAATAGGGTCATTTTGTGGTTGGTCGATGTTCTCACGTGGAAAGAGTGTGCCAATGATCGTCTGGCGGCAAAGAATCATTGTCTGACCAAGAAACAAACACAGGTGAGTCAATAAGATGGGGGAGTTTCTTTCTATGTATAAATGCCTAGAGGAATTTCTATGTGAAGATCAAATAGTCTTCTGCTGTCAAAAGCCATCATTGTGTATTGACACCCATTATAAAAACGTAAACAAAGTCCAAATTTTTGACATTAGAAAACGTAAGACCCGAGAAAGCACAGCTGACTTTTGCTAGATGGGTTACCTTATTAATAGATATTGGTCTATTAAGACTACCATCAGCTCGGCGTACATTGAAATATGCAGTCCACCGAAAAGCCAGGGACAATGAAACACGATTAAGACAAAATTGAAAGCATTTTGACAGCTCGGATGAAATCATCTGTCCTTATCGGACCAAATTATTGGACCAAATTTTTTGTTTACCAAGATCTTTTAATAAGGTCACCCAGCTAGCGAAAGTCGGCTGTTTTTTCTCAAGTCTAACGTAAACAATTTGGAGATGCAGATTATAGCCAACTAGCGAAGTCAGCTGCTAATTATTAAAACTAACGTTTTTGGACTTCGTTTACGTTGTCATAATGGAAGTCAAATCACAATAATATCTGTATTGACTAATGGAACTAGTCTCAACAGACAGTTTTTTTTTCGTAAAAAAACCAAGCATGTTTGTTCTATATATTTATTCGAAGAGGAAGACCAGATGATGCTTTCTATTTTTAAATAATCGTATGAAGAAGTAAGTAAAATTTTGTTTTAATCATGGTACAATTATAAAAGGTAACAGCAAATCACAGCTGATTTGATTCCAACGTAATACTAGTGTCAATATGAATTTGACAAATTATGTTTTTAAAAATCACCCAACAGGAAAATTGGGAACGCATACAATTTAAAATTGTTCTTTATTAAATGTGCTCCTGTTTTCAGTTTACTCAATCTGCCTGCTGGGAAAGCTTGAGGAAGCAAATCTTTCTTCAAGGAATAACTCGCTATTCCCAGCATTTTCATAAGTGTTACACATATATATGGCAATGGCTCAATTATAGGAAAGATGTGGAATAGATAGAAATATAAATTTGATAGATTTTCATTCATGTTTTGTGGTGTGCGCCTTGTAGGGTTAAATTTAAAAGAAGAAGAAGAAGAAGAAAAATTGATAGCACGCACAAAACTGCTGTTGTGTATAACAGTTGGCAAACGTCATAAAGGGGGATAAAAGAAAATTAATAAGAGGGTAGGAGAAATTTCCTGGAAAAAAAATGATAGGAAAACTGTCCTTTTTAAATACACCTGCGAAGAAGACTGGACGTGTGATCTCCCCGAACAGCAAGAAGTCAAATTTAAATTTGAAAATCGACATTTTTATTGATCGATACTTATATATATATAAAAAAAAGGAAGAAAAAAAACATCTATGCATTTTTTTTAAATACAAAAAGAAAAACATACAAAACTTAAAAATATTGAACAAACAAATAGATGCAAGTATTTGAAATAAAACGAAGTATCACTACGACAACTAAATCTACATAAATCCAAAGGGAGTCACACACTGCGCCGTCCAAGTCCAACGAGGGAGGCGCTGATTTAACGCATAGCCAATCCGGCATGCGCTGGTATATTCACCCAATAGACCTAAGACACTGAAACTCCGGACAGACAGACGGACGACCAGCAGATAGTTAAATTCCGGGTTGATTTTGTTTCCATGCAAAGAAAGAAGAAGCATTAAAAGGATAAAAAAGGGTAAACAAAGGTGAAATAATATTAAATTGTACTTACCTTGTCGTTGAGGTGCAGGTGGTTAGGACTCCGAATTGAGCTCAACTCTGGGTTAGGTGACCATCCTCCGTTGTTGTCCTAGCGTTTGTCGTTGGTTTTTATAGGCGACCACTTCCTTTGTTTGTCCTTAGGCTATAATAAAGAATAATAAAAAAAGAAAATTTAATATATAATAATTCGGAATATAATTATACGCTAATACTATAAACATAACTTACCTACTTGCATTACATATTGGGAGAATCCAGCATCCAACACAAAAGCCACCTTCAGCGTCCAAGCCCTTAGAAAGTCCTGAAAAGAAAGAAGAAGAAGAGGAGTAAATGTTTGGCGTGCACATTGTCGACTACCTAATATTCTATTTGATATAAATTTTGATTGATTTTTTTTTTTGGTTTGATTTTTTTTAACTAAACTGTATATTCGATGATATTTGAAATGAATTACAAAAACCCCATGAACTATTGGCTACCTCAATGTAAATTCGAAACCCAATGAAAGGCTTTTAATGAATAAAAATATTATAACGTTTTGGCTTTAAAAATTAAACAAAAAGTCTTGTGATATGGACAACTAAACTAAGAATGGGTAAGAAAACGTAGATTGAAAACAGGTGGGGAAAGTATGGGGTATTCCCTGATAAAAAATGGAGAATAGGAATACCATGGTGGGGTGGGATCTCTCCTGGCACCTAATACCATAGAAAAGTGCCCAATAAACCAATTGATTTCAGACGGACAAGAACCTATTTTACTGTCATGCTATTTGCTGTTGCTATCTTTTGTTTGTCCTCCCGCTGGCTATAGATGTTTTGTTTTTTTTTTTTTGTCCACTTTATCGAGGTCTAATCTATTGACAAGAACTGCGGCCCCAAAGACTGAGCTGTTGCCGGAGCAAGCTGTCAGCCAGCCAACGCCGTCAGTAGATTAGTTCCTACTCCAGACGATAAAGGTCCATAGGACAGGACAAAAATGGCGCCCGCAACATGGGGCCTGAGAAATCAGGTGTCCAACTTCATATTTTTGTTTGCTTCTCCTTACGCTGTCCTACGTCTGTAGGGTCGGACACCTTAGTCACGGCATTAGATTTATCGTAAGTCGCGCTGTTGGGGCAAGGTATCCGCCCTGACGGGGGTAGGATGGGGTTGGGAAGGTGGTGAGGTTGTTTCCGATTGGAAGATTCGTAAGTCACGGTTTATTAGGCTGTGTTTACATCAGTAGATCGGTAGCGACGAGTCTGAAAAGAGGAAACAACCAGCATTAGTTTCGGTATTTAATTTAAATAGACCAAATTGGTTTGCTTACCTGTCCGTCCGTCTAAGGCAATATAAATGATGCATGTCCAAACTTGGGAGTCCTGGATAGGTGCGCATTTGATATGTGTAATCCAGTGTCCTTGAGTAAGTGTCTGTTAGGTAGCAAGCTGATCCCTGTTTTTGTTCATTTTAAGGCAACGAGCAATCTGAAAAAAAGAAATGTTTATGAATTGGAGATTGAGTAAATATTTTAGCTCATTGTAGTTATGATGTTGATTGGTTTATTTTTACCCACCTGTGAAAGATCTACGTTTTCGAATCCCTATAGATAATTGTTTCGGCATTCCGTATAATTTACCTAGAAGAAAAATAAAGAAAATCAGTGAAGAAATTATTATATTTAAAGTTTAGTTGTCAATCGAGATACAATCTTAAGATAGAAGAGAGAAGGAAGATAGTAAAAAGTTTACAGAGGTAGTGTGGTTAAATACTAGCTAGGTTTAAATGGTGAATACAAGGTCGAAATCGTATGAATCTGAGGATAGAGGCCCTAATTGCTCCATAATGTCTACGGTTACGACGACAGCTACTGGTACCGATACTACCTCGACGGCAACTACGACAACAGCGGTAACAACAATGACAACCTGCGCGCTGACCACCACGCGTCAAGGTGGTGGTATGATGTCGGCCATATCGAGCCCAGCTCAATCGGTAGAGGGGTCATTTTCGTCTGGGGAAGACACTATTGGTACGCCAAATTTCAGCAGTGTAACCGCTCAAAATATCCACCAGGAAAGGAGAAGAGAAAATGCTCAGTGGCAACAGGAACGGATGGGTGTCCAAGCTGCCGATCCTCAGCTGCGAGAGGTCATTAGTTCAGCCATAGAAGTGGGCCAGATGGAGTTGATACGTCTGCTCAATGAGAAATTGTGCGTGTTGGTACCGCAACTGGTGCAGAAGAGTTTGGCAGAGATGGGAACGAATTTAAACGGCAGTGACAGGAACCAAATCGGTACAGAGAGCAGAGCGATGCCCGCCGTAAATCCTGGGTCGGGGCAGCCAGCTAATCTCTCAGCACCTACCGCCCAGGTACAGAAGGGAACGACGGTTCTTTCTCATCATCGAAATACCCAGGGTGGAGTGTATTCAAGTCAGCCACAGAGCCAGCATGATAGGCAGCTACCAAGCCAGCTACATAATCAGCCTTATGGCCAACCAGCAAGCCAGCCCTATGGCCAACCGGCAAGGCAGTCACATAACCAACCGTGTGGTCAACCAGCAAGCCAGCCCTATGGCCAACCGGCAAGCCAGCCACAAAACCAGCATTACGGACAACCAGCCAGCCAGTCGAGTAGGCTTCCGCCAAATCATCCACCGTATCTTCCGCAACAGCCAAATGGCGGTTGGCAGTATTGGGGAGAACAACCGACAACTTTTCAGTACCCCGTCTACAGCCCGAGACGCAGCGAGATGGACAAATGGAGACTGCGATTCGACGGTACGTCAAAGTCAATCACCGCCGAAGACTTCATGTTTCGTTTGGAGCGCTTAAAGGAAGACTACGGCTACCGCGATGAGGAGGTGGTAATCAAGTTCCCTCAGTTGTTAGAAGGGCCGGCGGAAGATTGGTTCTGGATGCAGCGTCGATTAGGTCGTTTGAATAGCCTCCAAGACATCAAACAGGCATTTTTGTCACAATTCCGCCAGTTTGAAAGTGACTTTGATGTGCAGCGTCGGATGATGGATCGCCGCCAAGGCTCTCAAGAACCATTTGAAGAGTTTTATAACGCCATGCTCCGCCTACACTGCCAGCAAAGAGTGCCGATGGAGGAAAGCATGTTAGTGGAGATGCTAAAGAATAATTTGAAACCATCGATGGCATCGTTGGTGTTCCCCATGAAGATCTATGGGCTGCAACATTTTCGGGAAGAGTGCCGAAAGGCGGAACAACTGTTGGCAAATCAAAGGCAGGCCTCGCAGGCATACAAGCAGCACTATAATCAGCGAGTTCACGCCCTAGAGTCCGAAGGACCTAACGAATGGGAAGTGGAGGCAATCTCCAGGCAAGCCAATTATATTTGCTGGAATTGCAAAGAGAAAGGACATGGATTTGTTGAATGTCCGTCCAATACACGCAATCTTTTCTGCTATGGTTGTGGCTTAGAAAATGTGACCAAGCCCCGTTGTCCGCAGTGCCAGGGAAACCAGCAGTCCGGATCGATGAAGGGGGTGCCTCGTCCGGCTCAATCGCAACCCCAGAAATGAGGCATGAAGAGCATGGGAGGGCGCAGGTCAGAATTCTTGAGAGAATGAGTAGCGATAGTGTAGTGATGGAAGAGAAACCCGTAGGTAGAAGTAGGGAAATTAAACCTTGGCATATACGTCTGAAAGAGTACGAGGCGGCTAGGAAAAGGATTTTTGATGAAGGAGACGAAGATAAAGTGAATTGTAAGGGCCATGAAGGCAATGAAAACATAGTAGTTATAAGCTATAGGAATGAAGTGAATTGTAAGGGTCATGAAGGCAATGAAGATATAGAAGATATTAGTTATAGGAATAAGGTAGACTGTAAGCGCCATGAAGGCAAACAAGATGCGTTAAATAATGAAATTAATGAAGTACAAGGGGGGAGAACTTCGAACAGTAAGGTAACTAAGTTGATTCTTAACACTAGTAGTAGACGAGATCGGATTGTAAAGGCCAGGAAGAGATTCAGAGCAAGGAGAAGGCTTAGACATCAGATAGCAGAGGCGACGCTTTATGAAGGTGAAGACACTCGACTGTATGCCCGGATAAAAATAGGGAACACAGAAGTTGAAGGCCTTTTGGATAGCGGGGCTACTGTCACTTGTTTAGGAAAAGGTGCGCTTGAGTTGGCAGATAAAGAAGGAATATCCATTTTCCCTTATAGGTCACATATTAAAACGGCAGATGGTACACCTCACCAGGTAGTTGGTAGAATTAGGAGCAAAATCAAGTTGAAGAAAATCGAGAAAGAGGTCGAATTTTTCCTAGTCCCAACTTTAGGCAGGGTTCTTTATCTTGGGATTGATTTTATGCGCGCATTTGAGTTGTTAGCCGCGGTGGAATGCCTGTCGATCGAAGATGAAACTGAAGCGGAGCCAATTGATCCAACCGCCCACATTTTGACAGAGGAAGATCAGAAGATATTACAGAACGTTGTCGAGCAATTTCCGTCGTTTGCGGTGCTAGGGCTGGGTAAGACCGAGCTGGAGACACACACCATCGATACCGCAGAGGCAGAGCCTGTTAAGCAGAGGCACTATCCCGTCTCGCCTGCAGTTCAGACTCTCATGTTTGCGGAGTTGGATAGGATGCTGGACATGAAGGTCATTGAGCCGAGCCAGAGTCCTTGGAATAGTCCTGTAACTTTGGTGCGCAAAGGTACCAAGAACAGGCTATGTCTGGACGCTAGAAAGCTTAATGCTCTTACGGTCAAGGATGCCTATCCTCTCCCGAACATCGAGGGTTTGCTCAGCCGGTTAGGAGACACACATTTTATTTCGAGTGTGGATTTAAAGGATGCCTTCTGGCAGATCCCGCTCGAAGTAAAGAGCAGGGAAAAGACGGCTTTCACTGTCCCAGGAAGGCCCTTATATCATTTTACCGTCATGCCTTTTGGGCTGTGTAATGCGGCCCAAAGGTTATGTCGGTTGATGGATAAGGTCATTCCTGGACATATGCGTGAAAGGGTGTTCGTGTACCTAGACGACTTGCTCATTGTTGCCCCTGATTTCCAAACACATATCGACCTTTTGGTGCAGGTGGCGCACCATCTAAAGAAAGCTAACCTAACGATAAACGTGAGCAAGTCAAAATTTTGTTTCCGGGAGCTACGCTATCTGGGCTATATAGTTGGTGGAGGTCAATTAAAGGTGGATCCGCAGAAAGTGGCTGCCATAGTGGACTTCACCTACCCGAAAAACGCACGACAAGTTCGCAGATTTACAGGGATGACCGGCTGGTATCGCCGTTTTATCGCCGATTATGCCACCATAGCGGTACCGATTTTTGCAACCCTAAAGAAAGGACGATCGTTTGAGTTTGGGAAGGAAGCCCAGGAAGCATTCAATAAGTTAAAAGAGGCCTTAACACAAAGTCCAGTGTTGCAACACCCAGATTTCGGTAGGCACTTCTATGTGCAATGCGATGCTTCGGATTTGGGGATTGGCGGGGTTTTGTTTCAGAAGGACGATGACGGAGGGGAGCATCCTGTAGCCTACATGTCGCAAAAACTAACACCGGCCCAGAAGAATTACTCAGTAACCGAACGAGAATGTCTGGCGGTAGTGATGGCAATTACAAAATTTCGACCGTATATTGAACTGATGCCTTTCACGGTCATCACAGACCATTCGGCGCTTAAATGGCTGATGACAAATAAAGAGTTGAGTGGAAGGTTAGTCAGATGGAGTTTGCTTTTGCAAAGCCACTCGTTTAAGATCGAACATCGGCGAGGAAGTCAGAACGTCGTTCCGGATGTCCTATCCAGATACAATTTAGAGGAGTTGTTAGAGCAAATGGAGAGTGTGGTAGATTTGCTGTCGGAAGAATTCAGGAGTGAGGAGTACTTAGCAAAGGTGGAAACCATTAAGCAAAATAAAGAATCATTACCCGATCTTATAGTAAGAGATGGTTATATTTACAAAAAGACTATTCCCATCACCGTTGATATTCCCCATGAGGATTTTGTATGGAAGCTGTGGGTGCCAGCAGGTTTGACATCTTCAGCGATTATTAAGGCCCATAACACACCCACAGCTGCGCATGGAGGCTACCATAAAACACTGAAGCGACTTAAGCAGCTGTATTATTGGCCGAATATGAATTTGCAGATAAGGGAGTATGTGAGAAGGTGTGGGATCTGCAAAGAGGCGAAGGCAAATTACAAAAATATGCAACAACCCATACAGGCCAATGTGTCTTTCGAGCGACCGTTTCAGAAAGTGTACGTTGACTTTTTAGGTCCATATGTTCGGTCGAAGTCCAACAATTCCTACATTTTTATCGTACTTGACCATTTCACGAAGTACGTGTTATTGAAGCCAATGCCAAAGGCGACTGCTCGGAATGTTATTAAGTTTTTGATGGACGAAGTTTTCCACAAGTTTGGAGTGCCGGAAGTATTGATGTCCGACAATGGACAGCAGTTTGTTGGAAAGGATTTCATAAGTTTCCTAGAATCATATGGCGTAAAGCACTTCAAGACTGGGCTATATTCGCCACAAGCAAACCAATCAGAACGAGTAAATCAATCGATCTTGTCTGCGATTAGATCCTACCTGCAAGACGACCAACGGGACTGGGATCAGAATTTATCCTCGATTGAATGCGCTCTTCGATCTTCGGTTCATTCATCGATAGGTATGACACCCTATTTCGCTTTGTTTGGTACAAATATGGTTACCCATGGGAGTGTGTATAGACTGGCAAAACAGCTAGAGTGTATGAGCGATCCAGATTTTAGTGCTCTTCCGAAGTCCTCAAAACTAGAGCTGGTGAGAAATGAATTAAAGAAGAATCTGCACAAAAACTATCTAGATCGCGCTCGAAAATATAATATACGTACACGGAAAGTTAGGTTTGTACCGGGTCAGGAGGTTTATCACAGGAACCACCAGTTAAGCGATTTCAGCAAAAACATTAATGCCAAACTATGTAAGAAGTTTGTGAAGTGTCGGATTGTGCGGGCAGTAGGCAACTGTTTGTATGAGATAGAAGATCTGAAAGGAAAAAGCTTAGGAGTTTATCATGTACGTGACTTAAAACCTTAGTGACTAACTTCTTATGAACCATTCAGTCTAGAATTTATTCGGAACCTAATATTAATTATTTTACCTTGGCTTTTTAAAATTTTGGAAATTCGGTGTGTTGTGTGTGAAGTATTATGGTTTGCCTGGTTAACGTTTTTGTTCTTTTGTTTTTCCAAAAGGATCAATTCAAGTGTGATGCGTAATGGAAGACATGTACAGCTCATTAACTTTTTCTCACACTATAAGTGGCCAATCTTCTGGTATCAGCAGCAGACGACAAAATTCGAGAATCAGAGAACGCAGAAAGCATCCCGGATTTGTCGACTCTAGAGAAAGGCTTATTATTTAAATAGTATAGAATTTTGCGCTCCAGGAGCCGCCACGTTGTGACATGTCTTTGACCTTTAGTGCAGAACCTCTTTTACCAATATAAATGGTGCCGTTTGTAACTAGTGACACGGGCGGAGGAACTGTTGTACACGTGGTCGCAGATCCGTCCCTCATTCGTCTTATGACACTAGAGTCTGGAAAACGGGAGAACAAGTTCAAATACACCTAGGCGCATCTGAAATACCAACGTATCTGATGTTTTGACGAGAGCTGTGATGCGAGTAGATGGTACACTTATAAAGTGAGTAAAAGAAGTAAGTCGAATCTAAAAACGAATATTGTTCGTTGGTAATGAGGAAGTATGAGAGGCAGAAAGTAGATTGATTTCCAGGATAATCGTAGGTAAATGCAGAAGTGGTAGTTCAGAGTTTTTATTAAGTTAAAGACGTGAGGTTTCATTGTAATTTATTATTCAGATTGTGAATAATTCTTATTTACAGGGGCGCATGTTCACAATAGGCCAAATGAAAAAAAAGGAATATGAATACACATTAAAAACAAAATCTTACCTTATCCATTTCTGGTGAAAGCAGAGCTGGTCTTTAAGCAAAACCAATCTTCCGCAATATGCCTTTACCACACATTTCTGGGCAGCAGCATGCGCCACGCCTTCAAAACCCCGTCATCCTTTTGGAAATTCGTTTTGGTTTTTGTTTAAAAGTAATAATTTGATTTTATAACACATCACTATTTTTATTTTTATTGGTTTACAATCGGATTTTATGTCTAATATCTGAGGTTAGACACTAAGCCTCGTAGTATGTTATGAGAAACCTTTAATATCTAGATCCAAATACCTAAACTTTTTCATTAGAAGAAATTTTTGATTTTATCCAAATGGAATATGGTTGCAAAATCACTTCAATCATTCTTATTCTGGAATCTACTAAAACCACTGCTGGAAAGCTTGAACCACAGAACACACTAATGCTAACACACCAAATCTTCCTAACTTAGGGTTTTGTGTGTCGTAAGATTTATTTTCATAGAATATATATTTTTTTTGTATGGTGGAAGCATTTAACACATATCACTATCCTTGCAACTTTATCATTCCACCTTTTAACCACTTTCGAAGATCATTATAGCGATGTTTCTTTTATTTGGAATGAAGCAAGGATTTTTTGTATTTTTATTTATTGGTGAAGCATTGGTTTGATTGATTATTTGGCGATACTTTTGTTGTACTTCTCACGAATGGTAGCATGCACTCGCTTTATATATTTATTTCTTTTATTTTATCATAAAGCCACCTTTTAACACTTTCTTTGATATACTCTTTTTTTAATTTCTATTTATTTTGAATTTTTTTTTTCTTCAACTTCAATTTATAATTATGAATATTTATTTTTCTCTCACAATTTTGATTTTGTTTTGATATTATCTTTCTATTCCAATTGGATTCTTCTTTCTTTATATTTATTTTCTTTTTGCATTTTCTTTTCTCTTTGGCGGAATATTTTTTCTTTCTTTCTTTGCCTTATACGTCGAATTCATTGTGGCATCTTTTCGAACTTTATTATATTTCCGCCAAAATCACGTTGTTTCATTTTGATTCATGAGTGAAAATGCATAATTTGTACAACCACTTGTTACACACACACACATAGGAATCGAAAATTTATTTTAGGTTAGATTAATTATTATTTTTATTATATATA